TTCTCCTTCATAACCCTGCAGCAGCGAGTTGGAGACTGAATTTTCAGCCTTGACATCTCTAAATGGCAATAAGCATAAATCCTGCTATAAATAGTGTCCATCCATCCCCAGCTGGCAGATGCAACCTTTGAAACTCCAGAGGATCACATCCAAACTCCTCCCATTTCTGTGCTGAGTTTTTCAGAGCTCTGCCCTCCTGAGGGGTTTGGGCTCAGCCTTTCCTGGCTCTTTATGAAGATGATCCATGGATTTGGGTGCTCGGTTTGGCATGGCATGGGGAGTTTGGTGCCAAGTGTCCTGGTCCTGTTGGAACCAGACCTGGAGCTCATTCCCACCACATCAGATGTACCTTGCTCCCGGTGCCATCTGAGTTCTCCTTTTTGTCACCTCCCAGATTGTCACCGGCCTCTACCTCGGGAATATTCGAGGTAAGTGTCCTTCCCTGCCCCTCCGTGGTGCTGGGGGATCCTTGGGCAGCTGGCAGGGCTGGAGGATTCCTCTCCTTGGCAGCTCCATGTACTCCCAACCGGGAATTTCAGCTTCTTCCAGAGCTCCAGAGCTGCCCCAAATCCCCACCCCAATTGCCAGTGATCCCAGTCTAGCCCAGGAAAGGGATGTGGGAGCTGTGGTCTCCAGCCATGCTGGAACACCAGGAAATTCATGGCATGTTTGGAAACCTCCTCAGCAGCAAGGACACAGCAGCCTTTTCTGAGTTACCAGGGTAATTTCTGATTTTGGGGACGGCTTTAGGAACCTGCTGAGTACCCAGCACATCCAAGGGGGATTTTTCTTGGAAGGAGGTGTCCAATCCCCTTCCCTGCACCGTGTGGGATGAGAGGCAGCGGGAAGGGCTGGAATGGGGTCGGGGGGTGGGGGTGATGGGTGTGGGTGGCCAGCAGGGCAGGTAATTCCCACATGGCTCCCGTTTCCAGACTCTGAGGACCATGAGAACCTGCTGAGGAAGGGAGTGACCCACATCCTGTCCGTCCACAACCACGCCAAGCCCGTGCTGGAGGTGCGTGCCTGGGTGGGGGGCCTGGGGACCACTCAGGGCAGCAGGAGCTGGGAAGGGACACCCAGGAGCTTCTCCTGGCCTGGGGAGCAGCAATGCTGGATGTACAACACCTTGCACCGATTGACACCGACCTGCACCGAGTGACACCGACCTGCACCGATGGGCACCAGGCGGTGCTGCCCAAAGGGGCTCAGCGGCGGATATTTGGGGAGGGGGCAGCGGGGTGTTCAGGGCATCGCTCGGTGGTTTTTGGGGGGCAGGCGGGACCCGCAGCGCTGCGGGGCCGGGCCCGGCGGGTGCCCGGTGCTGCCGGGGGGTCCCCACGAGAGGGCGGCGGCGCCCCGCGAATGGAGCCCCGGCGGGGAGGGGACACAGCGGGACCCGCTCCCGGAGCTGGCTCTGCCTGCTCGGTGTCCCCGCTACCCCGGCCCCGCCGAGCCCCGCAGCGCTGCGGGATCCTCGGGGGGGAAACTGAGGCAGGAGGGAGCCGCCCCTGGATGATGCCAGAGCTGTCGGACAGGGTGGCCCGGGCAACAAATCCTGCCCGGATGGTTCAGTGTGCCAGGAGCTGCTGCAGGTTCGGCTCCCGGGATGTGGATGCCTGATGGGAGCAGGGACATCTTCCACCATCCCAGGCTGCTCCAAGCCCTGTCCAGCCTGGCCTTGGGCACTTCCAGGGATCCAGGGGCAGCCACAGCTTCTCTGGGCACCTGTGCCAGGGCCTGCACACCCCAACAGGGAACAATTCCTTCCCAATATCCCATCTGCCCCTGCCCTCTGGCAGTGGGAAGCCATTCCCTGTGTCCTGTCCCTCCATCCCTTGTCCCCAGTCCCTCTCCAGCTCTCCTGGAGCCCCTTTAGGCCCTGGAGGGGGCTCTGAGCTCTCCCTGGATCCTTCTCTTCCCCAAGTGAACACCTCCAGCTCTCCCAGCCTGGCTCCAGCTTTTGGAGCATTTCCCTGGCTCTTCTGGACTCTCTCCAGCAGCTCCACATCCTTCTCGTGCTGGGGGTGCTCCACCCCAATGCTGGGGTGCTGCAGAAAGGGAACGGGAACCCCAGGACCCCTCATCCTTTTTTGGGCCACCACGGGGAGGGAGCCCCAAGAAAAGCCCAGCTGGAGCCTTTCCCCTGTGGAGGCGCTGAGTAACAGGAGCAGGACTGAGGCACGGGGAACGATAAACGGCTTGGGAGCGGGGTCGGGCTCAGCCAGACGGGGAGCAAAGCGCACGGAGTGCTTACAACAGGGAGCAAAGCACATGGAGTGCTTACAACACTGAGCAAAGCACATGGAGTGCTTACAACAGAGAGCAAAGCACATGGAGTGCTTACAACAGGGAGCAAAGCGCATGGAGCGCTTACAACAGAGAGCAAAGCACATGGAGTGCTTACAACAGGGAGCAAAGCACATGGAGCGCTTACAACAGGGAGCAAAGCACATGGAGCGCTTACAACAGAGAGCAAAGCACATGGAGTGCTTACAACAGAGAGCAAAGCACACGGAGCGCTTACAACAGGGAGCAAAGCGCGTGGAGTGCTTACAATGGAGAGGAAAGTGCACAGAGCGCTTACAATGTGGAGCAAAATGCATGGACTGCTTACAACAGGGAGCAAAGCACAGGAGCACTTACAATGGGGAGAAAAGCACACGGAACACTTACAATGTGGGGCAAAAAGACATGGAGTGCTTACAATATGGAGCAAAATGCACGGAGCGCTTACAACAGGGAGCAAAGCGCACGGAGCACTTACAACGGGGAGCAAAGCTCATGGAGCGCTTACAACAGGGAGCAAAATGCATGGAGCGCTTACAACGGGGAGCAAAGCTCATAGAGCGCTTACAACAGGGAGCAAAATGCATGGGCAAAGCTCATGGAGCGCTTACAACAGGGAGCAAAATGCATGGAGCGCTTACAAGGGGGAGCAAAGCACACGGAGCACTTACAACACGGAGCAAAGCCGCGTGAAGAGGAAGTGGAAAGGCACGGGTGGGGGTTGAGCAATGTGTCAATCACGGCCCCGAGGCGCTGACCGCAAACCCCAGCAGCCCCGGGATGGGGACACGGACCCCGGGATGGGGACATGGGCCTCGGGATGGGGACACGGACCCCGGGGTGAGCGCTGTGTTCGTGTGGGGCTGGGAGCTGTGGGTCGGGGTTTGTGCTGGGTTGAGGTCGTTTTGGCCTCTCCACGATGGATTTTGGCGTGGTGGCTCTTCCCAGTGTGGGGAGATGTTGGGGTGGCACCAGGCATGGAGCTGTGGATGAGGAGATGCATGGAAAGCCTGTCCGTGCTCATCCTTCCAACCTGGGTCGTTCCAGCACAGAATTATCCTGTGCCCATCCTGCTCTGCCCCTTCCTTCCTTCAATAATCCACTTTTCCTTCTGGACCAGGGGGTTGGGCTGCCTGAGCCAGGAGCGACCTGATGGAGATGGGGCAATCTCTGGCACTCTGGCTGCAGGATTTCCCCCTTGTTTTGCTAAGAAAGGATTAAAAAACAAAACCCAACCCCCAGATAAAAAGGATCTAAATTTAGCTCCAAACAGGGAGGATCGAGGAAGCGATGTCTTAAGGAGAGGAAAGTAATCTGACCTAGGCCAGCAGGCAGCAGATGATTTATGGGGTATTAAAAGGACAGGGAGGAAATAACTCATTGATGAGAGTGGCTTTGTCAGTGCACGTCTTCCTGGTGGAGTCTGGGGCTCCCTGGCTCTGTTTTGGGGACTCCTGAATATTTTAGTTGTCCCCACAGCCTGGCCTGTCCTGTGGGATTGAGAGGAAATCGCTTTCCTCGGGGTGGGATGGATGCATCCATCCATTGCATTGCAGCAAACCCCAAAGTGGTTTTCAGCTTTCTTCTCTCCTCAAGGTTAACTGAGAAAGGAAAAAAAATAAGAGAGAAATGGAAGATCTTGCAGTTCTTGGAGGTATTTCATGACAATTTTATTTTGTATTGCAGGACATGACCTATCTGTGTATCTCGGCCTCAGATTCATCCAGTCAAAACCTGTAAGTGATTTCCCATCCTTTTTCCTGTTGGCAGCTGTTGGTCAATAAAAGCTCAGGTTCTGCAGGATGAAGGTTTAGTCCATTCATGCTGTGAAATTTCACATAATCCCTGAGCTTCCCAGAAGCTGGGGTTCATTTTTCTGTGTTAAATAACATTTTAGGGCTTAAAATCTATTTTTAATGTGTATTTGCAGTCAGGAAATGTAATTTTTCATCAAGTTTCAGAATTATTCCACTGAGAAGGATTGAAAATTGGAGTGTTACAAAGATGATTTGTGTCAGTCTTCCAGGCATTTTTTTAAAGAGAAATCTATGAAAATACAAATTTTTTTTCACCATATAACGCACAGATGCTCATCAGTCTTGGAATGCTGTTTTGGAGATGAAGCTGCTGAGAGGAGCTGGGAGGAATTCCCAGGATTTTGTGGGATGCTGCTGCTTTGGGTGACGGGCACCCATAAATCATCCATTTGCACCAGCAAATTGGCAAATCCACGGGATTCTTCCCTCCAATCAAACCCTAAAAAGCATCAAAACCTAATTTCCAGGGCTCTGCCTGTGGAGGTGCTGTTTTTTCCAGCATCCTTGGGAGCAGCCGTGCCCGGGGGTGGAATTCTGCTTGCTCATGCTCCCGCTGAGCGGAAAGAGAAGCTTTACAAGAAAACCCTGCCTCAGCAAGAACTGGGATTTTTGGTTGGTTTTTTTTTTTTTTTTTTTCCCTTCGCTCATTTCTTTGCGTTTTTGGCATGTCTACGAAAGGGAAAAAAAAAATAACAGGGGGGAAAAAAAAAATGAAGATAAGGCTGCCTGCAGGAAGGAAGAGTTATTCAAGAAACTATTTTCTGCTTGTCAGTTTACGCCTTGGATTTCACAATCCTGGTGAACTTTGTGTCCTGCTTGTGATTCGGGAGCTCGGCGGCTCTCAGCACTGCAATTCCACTCCCTGATCCCACGCTTTGAGGCTGGAAAAGCACAGGCAGAGCTTTCCCTCTGGAAAAAAAGCCACCCTTGGAGTGGGTGAGGATGGATGGGGGAGCCAAATTCCTTTGGGGTGGGTTGGGACAGGGATGCAGGCTGGAGGCACGAGCATTGCGTCCTTGCAAGCAAAGAACATTCCTGCTGGTCCTGCCGAGGGGCTGAAGGGGAGCACGGGGATCTGGAGGGTCTGGAGCTGTGTGGGCAGCACCTGCAGGCCCTGGGGGATGTTGTGTGCTCTGTGAAGATCGGCAGGACAAGCAGGGAAATCCCCTGGGATGAGCTTTGGGCAGGGAAAATCCTCCCAAACGGTGATGCTCCATTTGCTGGAGGATCCTCGGGCTGACATCTCCTTCCAGGAATGAGAGGCTCAGTACTTTTAGCCTGATCACGATGTCAGAGACTCCCTCATCTCTCATTTTACTGGGAAGCAGAACCCTCAGCTATTCCTGAATAAATTCATCTTTTTTTGGCTCCTTAGAAGATGCCGAGCCCAGCGCTCCCAAGGCAGGGTGAAGAGCAGCCTCTTCCATGGGCTGGCAGGGATGGAGGAGGTTCTGGAGAGTTCCCAGAGGGAAACCAGCTCTCTTGGCAAGGAACAGAGTGGGAATAACTGCGGGAGGTCATGCCTTGGCTTCTGAGAAATCAGGAAGGCTGCGTGGGCTCACACCCACCCCGTCACGAGGAGCAGAGGAAGTCCGGCGCCGGAGCAGAGATGCTGCCAAAGGAACCCTCTTCTCCTGGAAAACCCAGGGCTGGGTGGCCGGGAGGCCAACAGCAGCAAAAGTGACCAGAAGCAAATTTTCTGCCTCAAAACTGCCCCAGGGCTCGGTGTGGCTGAGGGGGAGGGTAGGGATGGTCAGGTTTCATTGGAAAGAGAGGAAAATCTGTCTCAGCGTGGGATCTCAGCGTTACAACAGCTTCTAGAATCCCATCCAGGGATGAGCTGCAGGGATTTGTCTCACCAGAGCCTGCCATGAACACCCAGCTCTGTCCACTCAGTACACATGGGATCAGTTATCCTGTTTTCCAGGTCTCCAGCAGGAAGGTTCCCACCTGCCCCGTTTTGCCGTGAAATGCTCTGGTTTGGGGGAATGTGCTCCCTCTGCTTTGCCAGCAGCTCCTGGCTGTGCTTTTGGGAATGCAGGCAGCAATCCATGGACGTGCCTGTGCTGTGCACACCTCTCTGTGCCTTCCCGTGGGTAGGGGCAAGATGTCTCCTCCTCCCTCTCCCTCCCTGCTGGCTCCTCTCCCTCTCTCTGGAGGGAGGCAGGTGTTTTTGGCACTGTTGGGAAGGAGGGGTGAGGCAGGATAACTGGGAGAGTTTGTGTCCCCTGGGCACAGGGTGACACCCTTCCCTGCAGGCTGTGCCCCTGGGGCTGAGCTGCTTTCTCTGATGGCATCACCCTCATTCCTCCATCCCTCAGGAAGCAGGAAAACCTCTGGGATGTCTCCCGGGTCATTTCCTTCCCCTGGCACAGGAAGGATCTCTGCTCCCACCCCACGCTGGTGGCCCCAGGCTGGTGGGAAAGCCTTGGGAGCGCCGGTGCTGCTGTTTGCAGGGTGTCCTGGTGCAGGGGTGGCCAGCCCTTCCCTCCTCACCTGCCTCTCTCCCTGCAGGCTGCAGCATTTTAAGGAGTGCATCCAGTTCATCCACGAGTGCCGGCTCGCAGGGGGAGGCTGCCTGGTGCACTGGTGAGAGCTGCTGTGACCCCCTCACGCCCCACCCGTCCTCTGGGAGCTGGGGATGGGCTCCCAAAAAGTGTCCTTGGTGTTGAGCACCACTGGGGAGGGGGAGGAAGGAGAGGAGGAGGCACAGAACAGCAAGGAGGGCCGTGGGAAGGTCTTCACTTTTGGATCCATTGGGTTTTTTTTGGGAAGCTAAATAACAATTCTCACCTTTTGGAGATTTCCTGTCCTTCCCCTCTTTGCCTTGGGCTGGGATGAGCAACCCTGGTCCAAATATCAAGGAATTGATGCCAACCTTCCTCTGCAAAAACTGAGTCAAAACTCACCTGGAAACCCCACATTTCCAATATCCAGGTGCTCATTTAAGGGGAAGCTTTGCTTTTGAGACGGGGTGGGATGAAGGAAGGGGAAGAGACAGAGAAACAATCATTTTGGGGAAGATTTCATCAGTTTCAAGGAACAGGTAATTTCCCAGGGATGGGAAATCACCTTGCACTGACCACCTGAGTGCCCAAGATGTGGGACAGGCTTGAGGAGGTGACAGGGAGTGTGACAGCAGCGCCGAGAGAGCTCCTTACCCCCTCCCAACCCATCCTGCTCACAGCCCAGCCAGGGAATCTGCATCCCTTGGGTGATTCCTGCGGGATGCTCTCCCTGACGCGGCTCCTCCTGCCATCCCAGCCTGGCCGGGGTGTCCCGCAGCTCCACCATCCTGGTGGCCTACCTGATGACAGTGACAGAGCTGGGCTGGGAGAGCTGCCTGGCTGCCACCAAGGCCGTGCGCTCCTACGTCAGCCCCAACCCCGGGTTCCAGCAGCAGCTGCAGGAATACGAGAGGACGCTGCTCCAGGAGGTAAGGTGCCCTCGGATAATTTTGGAGGGGTTTTCAAGCAGGAGAAACTCCTTTGAGTGCAGCTCTCTGCCCCAGCTGGGTTTTGGGAATGGCATTTATTACCTGGGGATTTGGGGGTTTGCGTGCAAAAAAAAAACCAAAAAGAAAATTAAAAAAGAGGAAGCGCCTCGGTGTTATGTGAGCGCATTTAAAAAAGCTCTTGAAAACCCTAAACTTGAAAACCCTAAACTTGAAAACCCTAAACTTGAAAACCCTGAACTTGAAAACCCTAAACTTGAAAACCCTAAACTTGAAAACCCTAAACTTGAAAACCCTGAACTTGAAAACCCTGAACTTGAAAACCCTGAACTTGTTTTCTCGAGTTAGGACACAGCGGGAGGGATGGGAGAGCAGTTTGTCCCTTGGGAAGCTCAGGAAGGAGCTGGGCCAGTTCCCGGGAATGCAGCACGGAGAGGAGGGGTGGAGAGGGAGGAAGGCTCTCCTGAGGAGTTTTGGGATGTCTGGGCACGCTTGGGTCTGCCAGGGCTCTCTCTGCTCTCAGAGACAGGTGACAGGAGCAAGTGTGTGTGGGGAAATGTCCCGTTTCCTCCCCAGAATGAGGTGGAGCAGCAGGTTTCGGGAGAGCTGGATGGGTTCCCATCCCGTGCAGGGCAGGGAGGATGGAGCAGAGCCGAGCTGGATTCCAGCAGCTGGGAGAGCACTTAGTGCAGAGATCAGAGCTGCACTTTTGACCTGGAAAGCCTTCGAAAGCAGAGGGAGAGGCCTTGAAAGGCGAAGGCAAAGACCTTAAAAAGCAAAAAAAGGCTTTTAAAAGCACAGCTCCCACCTGGCTCTCCAGCTGCCTCCAGCCTCCCACTCTGGACCGTGCTCCTTCACCCATCCCTGGGCTCCCAAACTTCCCATGGGACACAGACAGCTCTGCAAGGAAAGGCTAACCCTGGACAAGATGTGTACGAGGGATGTCACAGCTCATGCCACCCCCAAATTCTGTGCCACCGCTGGAAGCAGAGCCCCAAATCCACGGTGGCAAACAAGACCCTGTGTTCCCTGCGGCTGGGACCAGCCCTGGGAAGGGATTCCTCTGCTCGCAGGAGGGAGCAGGGACAGCACACGACACCGGCCCAAAGGCCAGCCCCTTCCCCAGCCCCGAGTTCCCTTCCCCGGCCGCTGTCACACAGGGGTGTGGCTGTGCCCCGTTAGCAGCAGCTGGCACAAACACCCGTGCAGGAGGGTGGAAAATGCTCCAAGGGATTACAAAACACCCGCGGTGCTGGAGATTCCCTGCGGGGCTTCCCCTGGCTGGGCCCTCCAGCCCTTCCCACGCTCTGGCCACCGCACAGAGCCTGATGTGAGGTTTGTCGTGTCCTCCCTCCATCCCAGTTATTCCTCCTGCTCCCAAAATCCAGACTGGGCTCAATGGACACCACGATTTCCTCCCTTTCCCTTCGAAGCTGCTTTTCCATCACCTCACAGTCCTGCCAGTGGCTTTGTAACCCTTTCCCTGAAACACCCAAGGCACAGCCAAGGGTGGAGGCACTTGGATGTGTTTTCCTGTGGGATTTAGCAAGAGCTGCCTTTTCCTTGGAACTCCCGCCCTTGTTCCCTGTGATGTCAGCCCTGGGCAGGGAATGGCCCTCGTGGGTGGAAAGCTCAGGGGGAAAAGCCTCAATTCTTGGTGGCTAAAACCTGCGAGGAACAGGTCAGACCTTCTGGGGATCTCCTGGAGCTGTGGTGCCTCAGTTTCCTTCGTCTCAGGGAGCTCAGATGGGAGGAAGGAATGGGGAAGATGCTCCAGCCTCACTGCTGGAGCGTGCAGCTGTGGTTTCAAGCTGGCAAATGGGGCTTCTCTGGGCTGGAGGGATAAAGAAGGAAGGAAGGGACCAAGAGCAGCAGCAGGATGATGGGTAAGGTCAGAAAGGGAAGTCAGCAGGCACAGATGGGACAGTGTGGATGTGGCAGAGGGCACAGATGGGATTTCTGGGGACAGAATGTCACACCATGGCCAGGCTGCCTTTTACCCCCTGCTGCCATCCCGGATGGGCTGGGTGCTCCTGGCCTGGGAGGGAGGAGGAGGAGGAGGAGGAGGAGGAGGAGGAGGAGGAAAACAATTCCCCAACTGCTGGAAATGTTTCCTTCATGTGAACATCACCTTGGCTCCAGGGATTTTTCCAGCACGTCATTCTCCTTGGCACTGGAATGACCTCAGCTCCCTCTTGGCTGGTGCTCCGAACCCACTGCTGGCCTGCGAGAAAATAATAAAGAATTAATTAAGACCAAGCTCTCATCAGTGTTAATGCTTCAGAGCCCCTTTAGCCACCGTTCCAGAGCATTCCAGG